GTTTCCATTGCACATTTGGGCTTCCAGTCCAGTCCATCACAAAAAGAAAGCAATATAAAAAAGGCCCTATTGCCCATATATTTCGGCTGAGCAACCCATTCGGTTCAGTAGACCAGATCTGTTTTACGGATCCTCGCTTCAATCGAATTTCGATTCAAATTTTCAAATTCTCAATAGTCATAATTTGCATTCAAATATCGGCAGAGCTCATTCGAATCAACTAGCCGTTACAACTCACAACTCCCTCGCTCTTCCTCTCCGCCTTTCTTTTACCGGAGCCAGGATTTTCACATTCAACTTTCCTTTTCTTTCTCTGTTATTTCGAACACTGAACTCCAGATCACACTCAGGCATTGATTCAATTGAGACACTAACAATTAGGGCTGCTAAACGGTACGGTAACCGGTTTACCGTTTACCGTTTTACCGGTTTCGGTAATACCGAGAATACCAAAACAGCCGCCGGAAGCCGTTACCGATCTCGTCGCGGTATACCGTTTACCGTTTCGACACGGTATCGATAAGGGATCGGTGTCCCAAAATTACCGACAGAAGAAAGGCGGCCTGTCCCTGCCCCCCCTGTCCGGCTGTCTCCTGTCTGTACCTATCACCTGTCGGCTGTAGGCTGTAGCTGTGCTGGCCTGTCAGTCCCCTCCGGTCCCTGTCCTTGTCTCCATGACCAACGCCACATGTGACAATGACATGCCAATTCCAAATTTCCAATATCATCATTCATCATCATCAACATTCACCAACGATACAACCCACATGTGACATGCCATTTCCAATTTCATCAGCATTCAGTTCACCAACGGGCAACGAGACATTTCAATTCCACAATGTCAAATTGTCAATATAGTAAATTAAATTGAAAATAATGAAAAAAAAAACCCAATTACCCAAATCAATGTCAATACTCAATTGTCAAATACTCAAATCAAATGTCAATAGTATTGTAAATTTGGGGCACAAAGCCACAATGGTCAGCAGTCGGCTAATTAATTACAAAAATAATAAATCTAACAAGTAAATTCCAAACATCAAATTGACAAACGAAAAAATACTAAAAAATAAGATCAAATATAGCATTATAGTTGTACGTAGTACGTAGAATTCCAAATAGAGCAAATAGAGCAATTTGGTCTGCTGCTTCTAAATGTGACATGTGACAATGACATGCCAATTCCAAATTTCCAATATCATCATTCATCATCATCACCATTCACCAACGATACAACCCACATGTGACATGCCATTTCCAATTTCATCAACATTCAGTTCACCAACGGGCAACGAGACATTTCAATTCCACAATGTCAAATTGTCATATAGTAAATTAAATTGAAAATAATAAAAAAAACCCAATTACCCAAATCAATGTCAATACTCAATTGTCAAATACTCAAATCAAATGTCAATAGTATTGTAAATTTGGGGCACAAAGCCACAATGGTCAGCAGTCGGCTAATTAATTAAAAATAATAATAAATCTAACAAGTAAATTCCAAACATCAAATTGAAAAATGAAAAATACTAAAAAATAAGATCAATATAGCATTATAGTTGTACGTAGTACGTAGAATTCCAAATAGAGCAATTTGGTCTGCTGCTTCTAAATGTTTAAATTAAATTCGAAGACATGAAGATAAAAAAATAGAATTACTAGCTCCTCACATGCCACTAGGACCTGTACCACCAACATCAACGAAACCTTGCTGCTTCAAAGTGGTGCGAAGGTTATCATCACCATTATCCTCCTCGTCCTGGTCCTCCTCATCCTCGTCTGAATCTTCCTCCTCTTCCTCCTCCACCACAACAGGTAAACTTTGTTTGACACCTTCATTTGGCTTGGCAGTAGCACTCTCCATTCGAGTTTGGAATTTAGTAGTGACTAAGTGTAAAAGGAAAATACAAATTGTTACATTTCATCTAATAATATTAATATGTAATCAGAAACGGACTAATGGAAAACTTAAAAATAAATGAAATTAAGAATTCTTACCACTTTCATAATCGATTTGGTCTTGATTTTCATCTTCAGTATCATCAACTTTGTCTGCTTTCTTTCCTCCATACCTTATCCAATCTTCAGCACAAATCAAGGCCTCTACAATGGTGGGGCTCAACGAAGACCTAAACAGACTGAGCACTCGACCTCCACAACTGAAAGCAGCCTCTGAGGCAACATAAGAGACTAGAACAACTAGGATATCCTTAACCATCTGGGAAAGAATATGATATCTAACGTTGTTCTTACTCTACCACAGCAAGATGTCTAACTTCATATCATTATCATCCTCGTTAATAGCATCATCAACATCTCTTAAGTAGATGTCTAGCTCAGAAGAACCTCGAATCCCCCTCTGTAGTTGCTCCTTTCTCATCTTGAAGAATTCAGTATCAAATGTCCCTCCATAAGATGCAGATCCAATACCATCATCAACACTAGGAGTGGTAACAATAGGCTCGGAGGTTTGAGGTGCATACTTCAATCTGTAAACCTCAAATATTGCAGTCATCTCTACTGTCACATCTTTCACCAAATCGTCTCTTTTCTTCTTCTCATACATCTTACCCCACATCCAATACAAATAAGCCATTTTACGCCTAGGATCTAGCACACAAGCCATGTAAACCAGTCTATTTATCCTTAGGTTCTCCACCTCGTCATCATCATCATCATCATTCTCAAACCAATATTTTTGTACCTTTGCCTCCATTCTTGCTGCCATCCGTTGTATCTCTACATCCATGTCTTTCTTAAAAAGTTTTATCACTTCATAGATGTCAGCAATAGCCTTAAAGAAAGTATGAGCAGTCACATAAGATGTTCCTGATATATCCAAAAATAATAACAAATTATTCACAAATTAGTTGAATTACAAATTGAATCACAAAAGAGTTATGTTTGTTCACATACCTGATACCCGAAAGGTGAGCTCATAAAAGAACTTCAAATACTTCATTAGCCGTCGAATACTGGTCCAATCTTCCTTAGTTGGAAGACCTCTCTTTGAGTCCACATAATCCCGAAATGCAGAATCATTGGGGCTTCCATGAAAGAAGTTAAAGACAGTCTCAAACCTTTATGCAGATTCCAACATCAAATAAGTTGAGTTCCACCTAGTTGGAACATCCAAAGATATAGTTCTTCTTCCATCCATTGATAGATAATCAATGGCAGATTTGAACTTTGCACTTCTACCTGGTGATGACTTCACCCATTTAACACAATCTCGAACCCTTTCTACAGCAACTCCAACCTCCTTCAACCCATCCAACACAACCAAATTGATTATATGTGCCACACATCGAAATTGCAAATACTTCCCACCAATCAAATCTGTTCCCCACTCTTTCATCTTTGTTCTCATACACTCTGCAAGAACATTATTAGCAGAAGCATTATCCATGGTAATGGAAAACAACTGTTGTGCTTTCCAATCTTGTAGACATTCTGCCAATTTTTCTGCAATGTCCTTCCCTGTGTGACTAGTGATGGGAACAAAGCTAATGATCCTCTTCTGCAGCTTCCAGTCACTCCCAATGAAATGAGCAGTCACACACATGAAATTCTGGTTGTTATCAGAAGTCCATGTATCGGTGGTGATAGAAATTCTTCCTTTGCACTTGGATTTGAAGAACTCATATAGCAACTCTTTTTTCTCCAAAAAGATTATATAGCAATCCTGCCTTATTGTCTGTCTTCCAGGTATCACAAACAATGGTTGGGTTACCGCCATAAATCTCTTAAACCCTTCATGCTCAACAAAGCGAAATGGCAGCTCATCCAAGATGATCATAACAGCTAATGCAGTTCTAGCTCTTTGTTGATAAAACTTTCATGGAGTTAGAGAGCCTACCTCACCATCCCCAGGTTGATAGTTCAATAGTGATTGACCACTGGCTTCCTTCCTCTTCCTCTCACATGCCAAGTGATGTTGCTTCAAACCAGAAGTCCCGTTATTGGTAGAGTGAGCTTTGATCAACGTTCCACATTGTTTGCATTTGCCATATGGGTAGTCATCCACCAGAACCTCATCATAAGGAGTCCACCACGGGGACTTCTTCTTCCTTTTAGTCACCTTCACAATTTTCTTTGCCTCACCCACTTCATCTGCTCCCCTTCTCATATCAGTCACCTGTGTAGGCGTGGCAGCTGCAGGAGGTGCAGTAGCAGGTGGAGATGTAATGGCACTGGTAGGTATAGGTGTACTAGATGAGACATTCACTTGAATCCCTTCTGCAGCTCCAACACGAGCACCCACTTTTTTGGAAGTGGTTCGAGGAGGAATGAAACCACTTTATTCTGAGCATCTCCTTTACTAGGACAAGAAGATTTCGTCCTACAACAAAAAAAATGTAAAAAATTAAAAATCATAAAATTGCCAACATGTAAAAAAAGGCATAAACATTAATTCTTATATTTTTGTACTTGGTTTCTCAAGTTAATAAATTAGTTAATACTTAATGAAAAGCAAAAATGAAAAGCAAACAGCAAACTAATTATTAAGCAAAAATGAAAAGCAAACAGCAAACTAATTCTTACATTTTTTATTTTTTACTTGGTTTCTCAAGTTAATAAATTAGTTAATACTTAATGAAAAGCAAAAATGAAAAGCAAACAACAAACTAACTCTTACATTTTTGTACTTTGTTTCTCAAGTTTCTAAACCTGGAAAAATGAAAAGCAAACAGCAAAATAATTATTAGTTAATACGTAATAATCAACTCAAACAATTGAATTAAATAAACCTATAACTCGGCTACTACCTACGAGCCTACTGCTACTCCTCTGCTCGCACTAATCAAACAACAAATCAACAAAATTACTACAAAACAATAATCGAACAATTATAATTTATCATCCAACATAATTCTTTCATCCCACAAAGTCAAAGCTACGCCTACACAGGTTACCTCTAAAGTCCAAAATGGACGGACAGCCGGAGAAGGGACGGTGACGTTCTCACGGCGACGATGCCTGCTGTCTGATGCGTCATGTTCCCTTGGGTGGAGGCGCTTGCGCTAGCGACGGAGACGACGGGGTTCGACGGTGACGACTGGCTTCGACGGAAACAGAGCAACGACCAACAAGCCAACGATGATGAGACAAGTGACAAGGAGACGACGGGGTTCGACGGTGATGACTGCCTTCGACGGAAACAGAGCAACGACCAACGAGCCAACGATGATGGAACAGTCAACGATGATGAGGGCTGCTGCTGCCGTCGTGCCCCTGGGTGGATGCGTGGAGGTTGAATTCGATGAACGGAGGAGGAGGGATCGGCGGACGGCGGTCGTGCACGGTGCAGCAGTCACTCAAGCCTCAGGGGATGCAATTATGGCCTGTAGTTATCGTTCGTAGGGGCTAGGGCTTTTTAAGTTTTTAGGGTTGCCTTGCCGACGCCCGACGTTTGATTATTGGTCTTGGGAAGTTGCCAGCTGGGCCTTGGCGCTTGATTTTTTTGATTTCCCAGTCGGTGTCGGATTACCGATCCGCCGACGGTAAGCTGCACTTCCGGTAACGGCATACCGCCAGCAAATAGTTCCCCAGCCAAATATCGTTAAGTTCGGTTACCGGTACGATAACCGGTTAAACCGGCTACCGCAAAACCGTTTACCAGCCCTACTAACAATCCACGCGATGGCTGAACCTTCTCCGAGCAAGAACCTTTCTACTTCTCCCTGTGGAGTGTCGATAAGCCAGCCAGCGAGCCCAAGCTTGAGAAATTCCGAATCAACTGATCCTAAGAGGAGAAGCTTCATGGGCAGTCCGTTTCCTCGACCTTCCATCAACACCGGCCAGAGAGGCGGTGCCGGCGGCGGAAGCGGAGGCTTGCACCCTAACACCCCCGCTAATTCTCCTTCAGGTTTGACTTACTTGATCGCCCACTCCCCTTATAATCCTTGCTTTCGTGAAGGTTGGATGTAGACTATGCTTCGTTTCTGCGCTTAGAAACTTGGAGAAATTGAGCGGAAAGAAAGGAACCTGGCTGAATCCGTTTTCTTTGGGTCGGAAAGGAGGGGATTCAGTTTTCAAAGTTCGCTTCTTACCTGTTCGACCTAATGCCCCACAGAACTACTTATCTCAGATGTTGAAACTGTAGAAAACGTGTTATAGCCAACCAACATATTACTGTCACCGACATTCTGTGTCAATTCCGATTTCTAGCTTTGACATTGGCAAGCTTTTGGGATTTGATACTGACTAGTGAAAAGTATATCCTTTTGTGCAGATTATTGTCCGAGAAGGTATTCCATAGGGAAAGAGAACGTGAGCAAGGCTTCTCACGATAATCACAAGCCTAACCCTCATGTCGAGCTCTATATTTAGAAGGGAAGGAGTGGGGATCTTAAGGATAGGTTTTCAGCTGAAATTCTTTCATATGCCGAGGTAACTTAAGATGAATTTTCTTCTGATGGTTTCCATATAGAAACGGGTGACTTGTCTTCAGATGTTGCTTCTGATGATGGATCATATAAAAAGGAAGAGGAGGACATGGAAGTGTTTGAAGCAGATCATCATACTAGTGCATCGCAGGCCGCCAGTGAAGATGCTCAAGTTAAGAAAACGGTTGAGCGACATGTCGTAACAAGAGCCAAGATCATTCCTATCCTTTTTATCTTGGCTTCTGTCGGTCTTTACCTTTCATTTTACAGCTCGACAACCATGGAACCCTCAGTCATCAACAACTTGAACTTACCTGAGCTGTATCTACCACCTCAACTCTCAAATTTTGCAAGAGAGCGTTTTGAGCAACTGACACAAAGACTTCAGCCACTTCTACATCGTTATGTATCTTACTTGCACAAGCTGATCCTAGGCTTCAGCCAACGACATAATATGGTAGCGTTGGAGTATGCAAATCTGACTTCTTTGCTGGAAGACAGATTGGTTGATGAAGCCAGTGTGTTCTTCTCCAAAGCAGCCACGTTTGAAACTGGTTTGTCATGGCCTGTGACCGATGAAGGTGTAAATGTGGTGTCGGTGATGAAGAGGAGTCACCTTATTGAAGCCACTAAAGAAGTTGTCCAGGGAGATGTCCTTTACCAAGAATCTGGAGACCAAGAAGAGATTGAGGTGCTTGACCTTGATCTTTCTGTCCACCACACTTCTAATGAAGCTGAAGGAAAGAATATAGATGAACTTGTTGATAAATCATGTCTAGAGGCTGCACTGGTTGTTGGAGGACAAGACAATTCTAAACAGCTAGTACTAGACACCTTTTCTCAGGTTGAGGGCATCCCAGATGATAGCTCAGCTACATTGAACGTTCCAGAAGCCAATATGAACACCAAGGTCGGAGATGGACGGTGTATGTCCGACAGGCAGAGTTCTTGTACGATTTGACAGGACCAGGAAGAGGGGTGTTCGTGGCGCTGTTGGCTTAGCGGGATTTGCCGAGAATGGGGCCTTGTTATTCGCATATGACAAACACTATTCAGGTATCTCCTATCCTTTTCTCATGGAATTAATGGCACTACGTGATGCAATTACATGGTGTATAACTCATGGTTTTGTTTTTGTAAATTTTTGTGGGGATTGCTAACTCCTGGTACGCCGAGTTCACTCGAGAGACACAAATCACAGAATGGGTGGTGCATTATTGCAAGAAATTCGAGTTCTGCATTCTTCGTTCTCATTCTTTGATTGTACTTTTACCCCTCACGATTTTAATAGGGCCACCATTTAGTGGCTCAAAAGGCTCTTGCATCGATAGTTCGACTAACTGCCGTGTTTGGTTGAGTGTGGTTCTTTGACTATGTTTTTTCCATTATATTCCTCTTGAAAAGAGGTAGTACAAAGATCACAGATACAAATATCCTATCTACTATGCAACCAAGCAACGAAGTCAAACCTCGGTTATAACCGAGGCGACAAAACCAGAGCATGTCTTGCTACCGAGTGAGCTACTCTGTTATTCAAATCTACCAACAAAGTGAATTGAGGCGTTGTTGAATCCACTTATGAGCATATCAATCTCTTGAAAAAGAATCCCAATTTTTGTGTCACAAACTTGTCTTGCACGACATTTCTCAATGAGAACTTCAGCATCCCCTTGAACGCAAACACTGTGGAGCTGATGTTGCTTGCAGAAAAGAAGACAATCCCGTCACGCTACTGCCTCCAAGACATAAGGATCACTAAAACCTTCAAAAACACAAGCCTTGGCTGCTATGACCTCTCCCGAAGCACGTCGTACAATGAAAGCCGAAGATCCAAACTCCCTGCATCGTGTACCTGCATCAAACAAGGCCACAAAATTTGCTATGGAGTCATCATGACTTAGATGATTTCTCATCGGAGTCGTGCCATTTACAGGAGTGGCCTGCAGGAGAGCTTTATCATTCTCTTGAACTTGGTGCTTCCATTTGGCAGCAAGTTCTTCCACTTTAACATGCTTGAACTCAAAACAAACAGCACATCAATTTTTCCAGATGCGCCAAATAAGGGAAATAACCTGCAAGTAAAGATAATCCAAATCCTGGCCATCTTCCTTGAACAGTGAATATCGAAGGAAGCCAATAAAGGAACCCTTATTCCAACGTCCCAAGTGCCTATGCAGCCCTACCATTCTCCATAATCTTCTTGCCGCTGGAAAAATAAATGTTCAATGGTTTCCTCTTTCCTCCCACTAGGGATGGCAATCAAACCCATGGTTGCGGGTATCCGTCCAGACCCAGTCAACGTGGAGAATCCCCGCATTGACTGGCTAGGGGGGGGGGGGGGGGGGGTACGGGTAAAACCCGCAAAGAACTTGATGGGTATGGGGCGGGTATGGTTTTAGCATACCCGCCCCATACCCCCATACCCATACCCAAACCGGCCCATCAAGGTATTTTGCTATACGTAAAAAGCTATAAATATATTATTATAAACTATTATTAGCATGAAGGTAATTAAATAAAAATATGAATAAAATATAATTATATTTATCAAAACCATTGAAACTTTCAACCCTTTCAGCCGGCTACAATTTACTTTCTCAATTTCTCAATGTCGCCGCCTTTCCTCTCCTGACTCCTGAATCATCTTGGAGATGCCCACCTTACCAAAATTGTTGATAAGATAGTAATATGTCATTAAATATAATTTCTTACATTTGAATTATTTTGATGCATATTGGTGTAACTTAGTGTGTTTGAATAATTGGTGTCTAGTAGACTTTAATCTTTTAGAAGCAAAAGAGGTTTTTGTCTAGTTGACAAGTTTATGTTAACTGTTTACTATATGGACGTGTTAGATTCGGAGATGAATGATTTGATATTGTATTATATTTGCATTTTATTTTATTGATTAATCAATATTTTAGGATTGAATGCTTTTTTCTATAAAGAAATACTATAACTATGTTGATTTCCGCTATTTATTATGTATGTTTTGTGTTATAATTGAATACATACATGTTGAACTTTAGATAAAATAATATTGCTTATACGGGGCGAGTACTACCCATGGGTATCCGAAATCCATGGTACCCATGGGTATGGGGATGAGTTTTCAAAACCTCCCTTCGCATGGGTATGAGTTTGGGTATTTGGTAATGGGGATGGGGATTGTTTAGGCAAACCCGCCCCATTGCCATCCCTACCTCCCACATACCGAGCAAATAGGAAGGATGTCCATCCCACGCGCTACTAAAGCTTCACGAGTAGGGAGGATGCGATGAAATACACTGCCATAAAAACAAGAGCAATTTCGGAGGCACCTTCATTCCCAAAAGCCAATTCCAAATAGTTGGATCCATGAAATCAATCCTAGGCTTAGTAGGACTTGGACGTTGATGTCGAAAAGCCAAAAATAGTACACGAATTTGACCATGAAAAAGCCTGAGGGATCATACTACCAAATAATAGTATCATGAAGTCTTGTCTGCGCTAACGGAATGTTACGAATCTTCCTAGCAGACTATTGGATACTTCAACAGTATAATTTATAGCTGAAAAGTAAAACTGCAACCCCCATTCAAAATTTTCTGCCCATAGAGTGATTTTAGGAAGCTGATGTGGCAGAGTGTTAAGCGGGAAAAAAAGAGTCCCGCCTGATTTCAGAACCAATAAACTCTCCACTACCCACTTTTTTCTCCTTCCAGGCCCACGTTCTCATTTAATTTGTATAAAAAACTCTCCACTACCCACTTTTTTCTCCTTCCAGGCCCACGTTCTCATTTAATTTGTATTAATTTGTATTTTTTATTTCCGATTTCCCTTCCTTCCACTCTTTCACCTCATTCGAATAAGTTTCTTGGCCTTCAGAA